CTCTGAACATTCCTGCAAGAACACAAGCACTTTGGGAGACATTAAAGATGCAAACCGTAACAGTGCCGTTTCTTTTTAGGTGAAGGAAAGAAACCAACTCTAGAGCACTATGGAACGCAGATTTTTTTTAAACTCAGGTTGTTGGGTGCTAAACCTGACTCCACCACTTACTAGGTGTGATGAGTACTTTGAACAAATTTCTTACCTTCAGGACCATCGTAAGAATCAAGTAAATTCATCCCTGTGAAACATTTAGAACCAGGGAATAGTAAGTGCTCAATAAACCACAGAGCCACTTCAGAGGCCAAAGGTAAGACCCAAAAGACCCAGTGGGAAGGGGACACAAGCCGATCACACTGGTTACCATGGAGGATTCCCTGAATGCCAACCAGGCTAGTGATAAGAAGGTCATAAGGAGACCATGCCCCAGCACACACTGCCATTTCTACATTTCTGTTTCCATGTTTGTACTGGTCTCTCAGCTGGCCCATGAGCACCATGAAGGCAGAAGCCCTGTCTTGCTCTTGGTCACCTCTTCAGTGTCCAGCAAAGAGCAGAGTCTTTGAATACTCTTGAAGGAGCAGTGAGTGCATGAACCACAGTCCTGATCTCAGCTGACCCACAGGAAGCACCGAGAGGGCGCTGGCGCTGCTGCTGGAATGTAGGCCCATCTAGTGGAGTGAGGCTGGCAGGAGAGGTGGTGGATGGTGGTGCATGTGTCAGGGCTTCAACCTTCGTGGATGTTGAAAAGGGGAAATTCAAGGAGTCAGAGGTGACTCCCCTGCTCCTGCTTTAAGCAACGAGGGGCTGGAAGGGGAAGCAACTTCTGTCTGGGACCAAGTAAGATGGGCTGGGAGGAGGTATCCAGATATTAGTAGACAGACAGAGGAACGACCTGGGCTAAGCACAGAGGTTTGGGGATTAATATTGCCCTGGTGGCAGACTACTTGATAGCATATTCAAGAAGCCTAGAAAATGACTTTGCATTGTTCGAGCTTTTATGTTGGAGTATTCATTCACACTGATCCTTGTTATGAAAAAAAAATTATATATATAATTTAATTTTTTTAAAGGTGGAACTCCTTAAATGCAATTTTGATATTTCTTTTCAGGCTATCTGCCTATAGCTGCCTCTCCCTTGCCTCTTCCCTCCAGGTAAAAACAAAAGGTGCACAGAACTTTAGTCTTACCCTCTAATTTTAATCTTAGGAACATCTAGTCCAGTGGTTCTAAGTCTGCGATCCCAGCCCAGCAGTATCAGGTTGATCTGGAACTTGTTAGAAATGCAAATTGTTGGATGGCCCCTCCCCCCATCCAGATCTACTGATCTAGAACCTCAGGAGAGGTGGGTCCAGCAACCAGTTAAGCAAGTTAAAAATTGAGAAGCACTGAAATTCCATCAGTTTGCAGATGAGGAAAATAAGATACAGAAATTAAAGGATGGCCTTGCTTAACATCACACTCTGGCCACTGCAAGGTCTGACCCAGACATCCAAAGAAAGGCCAAATACTGGGCTCCACATACTGACTGAGGCACCATAGTGGCTACTGACTTTGCAGCAGGTGAGGTAGTAGGAAGAAATGACAACTCTTCAAGGGGTCAGCTCTGCAAAGTCACCCCAAGTCCCCCAATTTCTTAAGTATCTACTCGAGGCCAGGCTCTGAGCCATATCAGATATGGTACAGATCTTGCTGGAAACCAGGAGGTCAGGCATATTGTTGTTTCCAAAAAAAAAAAAAAATACTTTACCCATTGAAAGCCTTCTATGTGAGTCAGGGTCCAGTCAGGAAGTAAAAATCAAATTAGTAATTTGACTAGGGAAACTTTAAAATAAAGCTTTATTGGGCTGGAGTTGTGGCTCAGAGCACTTGCCTAGCATTTGTAAGGCACTGGGTTCAATTCTCAGCACCACATATAAATAAATGAATAAAATAAATGTTCATTAACATAAAATAAGAATTTTAAAAATATATGTATTACCTAGTAAAGGCTGGTTAGCTATCAGAACTCCTGCTTGTGACCGTTGACTGGTGTCCCCTGGAAATTTCCTCCACCTCCGATTCCTTAACATGACCTCCATTGCTTTCCTTCCTCCCTCTCTGATCATTCTCTCAAGAATTTCTTTTCTTCATCTATCCTTTACATTCTTTGGGCAATTTCTTCTGCTTCCTTAATTTAAAAGTGAATAGGAGCTGAGCTCCTATTACAGCCTCAGTAGATTAGGGAGGTACTTAGCAACTCAGCTAGACCCTTTCTCTAAATAAAATATAAAAAAGAGCTGGGGAGTGGCTCAGTGGTTAAGCACCCTGGGTTCAATCCCTGGTAACCCACCCCCCCCCAAAAAAAAGCAGTGAATATGGATGAGTAATTCTGAAGGCAGGCCTCCCACCAGGTGCCCTCTTACATCCTCTCCTAATCCACGAGGGCCATTAGCTGAGTCTCCCCTCCCTCCTCAGCCCATGCGCACTCCGCAGCATCTGACCCCCTGGGCTCTGAAATTCCTCTGCAACGCCCTCCCTCAGGCCCTCTGCTCAAGCCCTAGGTCTTCCAGTGTCCACCTGTCCTGACCTCCTCCAGTCCTGCCACAGGGCTAGGGAGGCAGTCTAAGACCCAGGTCAGAGCCCAGTCACTCCCCACCCTCCTTAAAACCCTTTAGTGATTTTCCATCATCAGAGAATAAGATCCAAACTCTTGAGGGTGACACACAGGCCTCCAGGTCCTGCCCCAGCAGCCCTCCCGGCCACCTCCACTCTGCGGGCAGAATTGGAAAAAAGCAAGGGGTTGGGGGCAGGTGGATGTCAGGAGGCTCAATGCTCACCTCAGCCTCCCAGTTTTTGTTGTTGTTGTTTTGTTTTTGGTTAATAATATATTGTAGCTGGGCACAATACCTTTATTTATTTATTTTTATGTGGTGCTGAGGATCGAACCCAGGGCCTCACATGTGCTAGGCGAGCACTTTACCACTGAGCTCCAGCCCCAGCCCTCAGCCTCCCAGTTCTGCTGGCCAGGACAGATGGCCTGCCTACTCAAAGTCCTGCTTACCTTTCAGGACTGGCTCAAGTTTCTCCACCTCTTTATGTAGTCATTTCTTTAATGACTACAATTAATCTCACACACATATGCATAGACACACATGATTTCTGAGCTCATAAAGAATGATTTCAAAATATTTAACCACTGAGAACTCATAGGCACTCACACATCAGGATAAACGCTGGCCCGGAGACTGGAGTCAAGTCTTTAAGGAACCCCTGCTGGGCCAGGGTTATTGACCTATTGGCTGCTAGACTGTGAGGAGGTCTAGCAGTTCAGAGGAGGTACTCAGGGTGCTCAGGGCAGCGGCTACACACCAAGCAGCATAGGAGTATCTCAATCTTTTTACTTCTGGTATGACTGCACATGCATGAGCCCTGGGACTCTTATTATGCACCAGATGCTGGGCTAAGCTAACCCACTTCACCCACCACCTCCTTCAACTAGCACAACCACATTGTGAGGTATAATCATCATCTCTACCACTACCATCTTTCTTACCATCATCTCCACGACCACCATCTCCATCACTGCCACCATCTCCAGCATGCCGACAGACTTGCTGTGGGGTTTCACTGAAGATCCTATTGCTTGATCGTAAGTTAAATCTACACCTTCAAAAACTTTTGCCTGTTCTTCAAAGGGCAGCTACCTAGCACTTCCCCATCACCCACAGCAGCATTCCAAGGCATTTCCCACAGTCCTTTGCAAACCTGTTCTAACCACCTCTAGCCCAACCCTGGCACTGCTACTGCCACTACCCCCATTATTCCTGGCTGTAGCCCTGAATTCCTTATGACACAATTTTCACAACTGCCACCACTGGGCTGTAAGACCTTTGAGGACAGGATCTTGTTCCATGCATATTTAATTCACTGCTCTGCAGAATGTCTGGCTATGGGCCCAATGTTGGTCAAGTACATGAATAAATAAGCAGAAACATGAGACTGAAATGTAACTGTTATTTGAGGTTAGATCTATCTTTAACTGCTCCACCAACAAAAATATGGAAATACATAATACATTCCTTTTATTTTTAGCATTTGAACTTGACTATTATTATGAATGTATTAAATAAGAATCTATTAAGCCATTTTGTAACCTGAGAACAGGGGCTGCATTCAAATCTCACCCCTGCCACTTTTTTGGTGTGTGTGGTATGCTGGGGATTGAACCCAGGGCCTTGTACATGCAAGGAAGGAACTCTACCAACTGGGCTATATCCCCAGCCCACCCCTGCCATTTTCTAATGACCTTGCTCAATGCTTCTCAGCCTGCTGTCCTTGTGGAATGGGGAGTGATCCTGCCTACCTTGGGGATTCTGAGGAGGAAGGAGGAGACTACATAGTGCTCAGCACCTCCCCTGCACAAAGGGACTCAATAATCAGTATGTTATTTTTGGTGGTGGGTGGATGGTAGCCCAGGGATAAAAGGAAATGTGCTCTGATGTACTCTGGGCCAAACGTTGGTAGGGTGGTCTCAGACAGTGGTTCTCCACCTTGGATGCAAGTTGGAATGCTGGCACCATTCAACCCAAATCCCTGGGAACCCAGGCTTTTTTTCCCCCACTCTCTCCTGAAGATTCTAATAGGTAGTCAGGTTGAGATCCTCTGCCGAAACTAGCAAAGTAGGAGACAAGCAACAACCTATCAACAAACCAGCCAAGAGCCCAGGAAAGGATGTCCCAGATCCAGTGAGGCTGTCTTGATTTCAGTTGAAAATAAAAAATTCTCAAAATTGAAAACTTACCTGTTTTCTAATCCTAAATACACATGCAAATAGAATATATCATGATTACTAAATTCTCTGAAAGCAACCACTCTGGAAAAAGTCATAACAAAGCTCAAGTGTTTATTAAGAATTAAAAATACTGTAAAGAAGCCATACAGTTCATTTCACAGTAAACTAAACAAACCTTTTTTTTTTTTAACTTTTACTTTTCGGCTTTTTTTTTTCCTTTCTTTCTTTTTTTTTTCTTTTGGAAGGGCAAGACAGCCATTTAAGAACAATACAGCTCAAAGGGGAAGGGGTACAGCAAACAATTACAGAAATGCAGTGCACACGCTCCCCACTGACAGATGGAGCCTGCTCCCAAAGCAGACCTCCTCAAGGACATCCTGTTAAACAAAAAAACCTGGCCTACATCCCCCAGGGAGACACCCCACCACTGTGTGGACTGCTCTCAACACATTTCCTGAAAGACCCCAAGACACTTTTCTGGAACTCTAAACCTGTGCATTATTCGGTAACCTGCCCAAGTGTGGATGCAGGTGGGCCACCAGAGACAGACAGGCACCAGGACTCTGGGTGGTGTGCTTGAGCATTCAGAACCATCTGATTCTTTGCATAGTTACCTTTGATATCATTAGATGGTTCAGGAATGGAAGACACCCACGCTAGAAAGGCAACCCGCAAGTAACTGATTCTTTTAAAATGAAGACAAGGCGTTGCCCTCTCCTGACTCGGAGATTACATCTGAGTCCTAACCAGTTTTAGGTGGAAGACAAGTGAGAGATATCTCATGAAAACTTCAGCCAGAAGTATAAAAAAAGTAATTTTTCTTAAAGACAATTAGAAAGAAACGTGCCCCATCCCCGCTTTTTTTTTTTTAACTTGAAATCTGCCAGCCAGACAGGGTATTTGAAGGTTAATCTGCTTCTGTTAATCCTCAATTGAAGCCACTGTCATTTTTCTGACACCAGACACATCCCTTTTAAAAGCCACCTCTTGTGCACCCGGGCTGGGCCTTCAGGAAACAATCAAAAGCAGAAGCAGAGAACTTAAGAAACCAATGGTGTGTGGTAAGAATTGCAAATAAATTAACTGGGCACAGAATGCAATGCCTTGGTGTTCAGGTGGTGTCCACTGCTCTTGGGGGGGGGGGTGCGGGGCAAAACTTGCGGGGAGGGCACATGGGAGGAAACAACACATTTTTTTGGTCATGAGAAAATGGACTATAAATCCGCGCCCTGGACACACAATTCACTTAGATTTTTTCGTGAATCTTTTCAACTTTCACAAACAACCTATCCAGATCATTTCTCAGGTCATCTAGTAGACCCTTGGCTGATTCCAAGTTGTTCTCGTTGGTTTCGATTTTGACCGAGTAGGCTACCAAACTGTCCACAGCAGTCCTGAGCATTTTCAAGTCCGACTCCACCTGGCTCACTGAGGATTTCAGGTTGTCTAGAGAAGAGAGTCTGTCCAGGAAGTCCTGAGGGGGCAGACGCGTGGCCTGGGCTCGGTCCTGACTGAGCAGCGCGTGCACCTGCTCTTGCACCTTCTGCAGCGATTCCACGGTGCTGGGGAGCTCGCCCACGCTTCTCTTCAGCTCCTCCACGTCGCCGTAGAGCGCCAGCTGGGCCTCCCCCAGGCTCCTCACGGTGCCAGCCAGGCTGTCCTTGTCTGCCTCGGACGAGGACCCCAGGCCTTCCAGGTGCTCCTGCAGCGCAGCCAGGCGCTGCTCGTACTCCTGGCTCTTGGTCAGGAGCGACTCCAGGCTATCGGTCTGGCGAGCAGAAGCCACTTGCACGGACTGGACTTCATCCTCTAAGTTCTGGAGCCTGGAGTCCAGACCCCGACTCTCTTTCTGGAGCGCATCTAAGGCGTCGGGGGTTCTGGAGGACCCGTCTTCCTCCGGCCTGTGGGACTCGGCCTTCAGCTGGCGGAGCTCCTCCTCCAGCCTCCGGATCTCCTCCGGGAGGCGGGAGGTGGACTCCTCGGACTGCAGGAGCTTCTTGGTGAGGGCCTGCAGGGCCAGGCGCTCCGAGTCCGCCGCCTCCTTGAACGCCTGCTGCTCCTGCTTGAGGCTCACCAGCTCCCGGACCTCGGTGTAGACATCAGACTCCATGGTCTGCAGGGAGCTTCTCAGGGCCTCTATGTCCCTCTCCCTGGACTCCGCGGAGGTCTGTATCTCTTTCACCGCATCCTTCAGGGCTCTCAGGTCCTGCTTGTACCCCTCGGATTCTTCCAGAGAGGCGACCTTCGCCTTCACGTCATTTATTTCCTTCTGGCTCCTCTTCTGGACCTCAGTGAAGATGGCGATGTTGTCATTGATGGACTTGGTGAGCTCCGTCAGCCTTTCCTCCACTGTGTTCTCCAGGGACGTGAAGTCCCGCTCGCGCGCATCCTTCACCACGTGAATGCCGTCAGAGAGGTCTTTGAGGATCTCGTTCTGGAGTTTTTGCAGGACTTCACCGATCCTGCTGATCTCACTCTCCCCCTGTTTCACTGCTTTCTCTGTGAGGTCTTGCTTATGTTGGGAGCTTCTCAGGATAGACTCGAAAGCCCCAAATGTGGTTTGCAGAGACTGTACCTGTAGCCAAAATCCAGACATTAGCTGTAGAAGAGTCATGAGTTTCACAGGTACAGCTACTTTGTTTTCAGTCTGCCCAGCCTCCAGGTCCCTCAACTCTTCCAGAGTGGCACTACAGTACTCCTTTGAAGAGCTCTCCTTTCACATGTAGCCCATGTCATAGTTGTGGGGAACAAACTTAGGACTCCCTCCAAGAGCCCCAGGGATGGCTTATAACCCTGGCCTGAACAATGGGCACTTTCCACCCACCCTGAGTCACACTGTCTACCCAGGCATGGGCACATGTGCTAAGGCAGACCAAGGAATCAGATCTAGGACTTCTGTTAAAACTACAGAGGAAGAAAACTTTCTCCAAAGGGACTGTTAGCTACGGGATCAGGTAGACCTGGAGCTGCGTAGACCACCAACACATGGAATGCCTATCTAGGAATCAAGCCAGCACAGCTGAGAAATGGCCAAGGTTTGCAGACATCATTTGAATCCCTGGATACAGCTATAGCTGAAGGCATCTACTCTTGAACTTTGCAGTTTAAGCCAGTCAATTCTCTCCCTAAGCCACTTAGGGCAAAATTTCTACCTCCTTCAACTGCAAGAGTCTTCAATTTTGTAGGAAAGAAACTGATACACAGATACTCTGAGCTGGAAGTCAAGACAAGGATCTAGGTCTTAACTCATCACTTCCGGCTATGTGGCCCTAAACTAGTCATTGTCCTCCATGGCCCTGATTTAATCTTTTATTCTGAAGTACCTCAGAAGCCCAAAGATCCCTAGCACCATCTGCAGACCATTGCCAAAGGAATAAACTGATCCCGCAGCAGGCTCTGGTTTGGTGAACACACTGGGATTTTGTCTGCTTCTACATATTCCTTCTTAAAAAATTCTACCCTGAATGAGGCCTGACCTGAGAACTACCCAGGGGAACTGGTTTAATATATAATGAGGCTGTAGGATGATTAAGAACCTGGGAGGCATTATCCTGACACAGCATGTGGTGCCATCTATAATGTTTAGTTTGGAAAAAAAAAAAAAAGGAAGAAAAAGGAAAAAAGGGATAGAAAGATCTATCAAGTCCCTACCTCTAACAGCCAATTCTCAGGACCTGCAAGAAAGGGACATGGCATGATGTGACCAGCCAAATCCACATGTGGAAAATTGTGCAGGATAAATGACCCTGGTCAATACTGAACAAATGAATGGCATTTTATCATCCATTTAAAAAGTTTAAGAAATTTTCAATCAAAAATGTGCATTTCATATGGATCCTGACTGAAACCAACAATAGAAAGACAGTCTCGGGGAGAATCAAGGAAATCTGACTATTGTCTGGTATGATGTTCCAGAATCTCTGCAGCTGGGGTGTAGCTCAGTGGTAGTCTTGCCTAGCATATGCAAGGCTCTGGGCTCTATCCCCAGTATGGTGCCATATCCTGTGTTTTGCTTAAAACAAATAAGGAAAAAAAGAAATAAAAGGAAAGGAACTCTGACTGGTTAGAAATAAATCCTACAATACCTTGGTGAACTAATGTCTCTCATTTTAAAATTAGTTCCCGGTGCCCTCTCCCCTAGGTCTGCAGGGTGACATGGGCTCTTCTGAGGGATTTGAGCTTAACCACCAACATGTTCTGAAGCGCTGGACCCACCTGTTCCAGATCAATCTTCTGGATAAGGACAGGCCAGCCTCTGCCTATACTATGGCCATTTTCCAATACCAAGTACAAGTGGAGAAGAGAGGCCAGGTGTGCCCCCGACAGGGTCACAGAGGGGTTCAGGGTCAGGCTGCTCTAACTCCAACCAAAAGATGAGGGAGGGGAAGGGAGGTGGTGAAATGAAACAAGAATGGTAAAATACTGATAATTATTGAAACTGGGGTTCATTATATTGTCCTCTTCTTTTGTTTATGCTTGAACATTACCATGATGAGAAGTTAGAAAATAAAGTAATATAGACTCTGTAGCCAGATTGCTTTGGCTCAAATCCTGGTTTTGACACTTTCCTGCTGTGTGATCCTGGGTATGGTACATAACCTATCTGTGCCTTGGTTTCCTCAGCTGCATGAGGGGAACAAAAACAATACCCAACTCACAGGATTGTCATAGTAAGGGTTAAATGAGTTCATATAAGTAAAGTGCTCAATCATGCCTAAAACACAGTGAAGGTCTGTCTTCATTCCTGTTGCATCTCTATTCAGAAGTCCTGAAGATTCACAGCACTAGCTGCAGCCTGATGTCAAAAGGAAGAATAGTTGAAAACACAATGGGACACCTGGGTTCTATTCCAGTCACACCAATAACCACTCTGAGCAGTTACACTAGCTTTCCAAGTCTCAGGTTCCTCATCTTTTAGACAATAGGTCTCTCACATCCCTTCTAAATTCAGTCTGTGATTTTCAGACAGTAGAATAAGGTTCTCCAGGGCCTCCAGAATATTAGCCAATTTCTCTGCCCAACCAAATGCAACCTGAGTCATAAAGGACACTTTGAGAAGGTACTAGAGAGAACTAGCCTCTGAAACTAGGTTATTAAATCACAGTACCTGCCTGTTCTAAGCATAGCACTCAAATTAGAGGTGTGAGCGGCCGAGCACAGCACTTGCCACATGGCAGGCAAGACCCGGTGCTTTCTGAATGATCCAAAGCATGAATTCAGAGCAAAGGCTGATGAAGAGCTGATGTGCTCCCTATTCCTGAATGTCACCCCCAACCTGGGCTGGCTCGACACATGGTTAGAAAGGGAATTAGATTAGAAATTATGGATAAAACCAAGCCAGTCAACCCCCTGTAACTAAAAAAAAAAAAAAAAAAAAAACAACAATGTCCCCACACTGAGGGTACTGTGTTCATCTTTAAGTGCATATTAATCAACAGGTATTGAATGTACCTGTTCTCCCCACGTATGTGGGATGCCCACTAAGTGGCGAGCACTGGGGAAGAAGCCAAGAGATAAAATAAAAGCTAGGCCAGGATCCCTGCCCTCAGGAGCCTAGCTGGGCCAGGAGTGGGGGTTTAGGAACTGTCCTTAGAAATGGCTGACATCAGCAGGGCATTTCTGTGTATAGTAACTATCAAAGTGTGAGTGGTAAGTCGAGCATCATGAATGTCCGATCTCAGAACCGGAGCTCTTAATCACTGTGACATGCTCAGGCAGAGATATGTTCAAAGCACACTGAGGGCCTAGAGAAGAGGCTGCCAACGCCCAGAGCCCCGACTACTGGTTCAGAATCAAAATGAGAAAACCAAGAAATAGGGCCGGAAAACTGACTCTCTCACAAACAGCTTCTCCTTTCATAAACTACTTCTAAGATCACTTTTTGCCACCTAAGCTAAGCTACTTCTAAGATCACTTTTTGCCACCCTGGGTGTGCCAGGGCAACACGAGCTCTTCTGAGGGTCCAGAATTCAACTGCCAACCTTTTCTAAAGCCCTGGACCCAACTGTGCCTAAATTTTCTGGGTAAGGACAGGCCAACCTCTTTTCCTGTGCTAGGTCCATTCAGGTGATCTGGGACAGTTTTCCATACTGATGAACTTTTGGAAAACAAGAGATACCAGGTGGGGAACCAAATCCTATTCCAGTCTAAGATCCCCCACTTATGGTGTGACCTGAAATATGTCATACAACCAGTCCATGTATGACCTGGAATAAGTTACACAACCAGTCTTGGCTCAATTGCCCCATCTGTGAAATGGTGCTAAGTGCTATCTACCTCAGATAGCTAGGAGAAATGAAATTGTGGCCAAAAAGCACTTAATGGAATATCTGGCCCACAGAGACTACTAATTATGAATAATACTACTCTAAGTGCATTTCTCTGCCAAGAACCAAAACTCAACCCCGACAGAGACTTAAGAATCATACAGGGGTTCAAACTTAGGTTGTCAGAGAACAGGCAGTACTGGCTCCTCAGCACAAAATAACTTCCTTACTGGCCTCATAAAAGATGCAGGAAGAAGTGGCCACACACTTTGGGAAATGCTAATAAGACTGGACATACTGAACACCGTTCCATACCAGGTAAGGCAAGGGAAATATAATGAAATAAACAGCTGAGTGGTTGAGTGCCCCAGGAGTTAGACTACAGTGTGAATCCAGCCCAGCTGCTTGCTAGCTGTGTGACTATGTAGTTATGTAGCTCCACACTTTCCTCATCTGGGAAACGGGACAGGTAATAGCACTCACCTCTTGGAGTTGCTGTGAGGTCAAAAGAGATGATATATTTTCCGATGTTTAGGACAGTGCCTGACACATAAGCGCACAATAAATGTAAGGCACTGAACAATGGCTTAATTATACTACTAAATTAAAAGAAAGGTGGTCACTGTGTCCTCAGCTTCAGAGCCAAGAGGAGTCTTAAAAATCTCTCATTGTGTGGATGGGAAACTGAGGTCCAAAAAGCAAAGTGTTCTACGCATACCTGGGACACTACGCATACCTGGGACAGAGAAGGGATGAGAATCAGAAAGGAGGGACTAAGGGAGAGACAAGGAGGAAACCTAGGAAACAAAGCCCTATTTTTTTCAATCTGGACTCAAGATGTCCCCATTTAGGCCACAACTTCCAACATCCCCTAATTTTTCCTAAAATGCTACTCTGCTATAGGCAGGGGAGCCACCTCCTGTCCCTTAAACGTGTTCAAGAATGTTCCTTGCCTGCGAGTTCTTCACATTCCTTCTCTGAACATTCAGCCATCACCAACTAGATGATTGGCTCTACCCCAGACACGGGCCCAGGGAAATTCCACACCTCCCTCTTCCCAATCTGCACAGAGGCCGACCCTAACTGCCACCTACCTATGTGCTGCTTCACAAATATGATTTGTCTTATGCTCTTCCACCGGGCCTACACAGAGCTATATGACTACCAGGCTTAAATAAATATTATGATTGATTAGCAAGTGGGTGGCAGAAAGCAAGAAACGGGCTAGTGATTAGACTCCAGCAGGATGTCTATTTTGTAAAGATGATGTGACACTCAGGATAGGCAAAGCAGCACTGCCTACTTAATTCCCTTATAAAAGTCACCTCCCTTAGCCTGCAGCATTTAGCAGGCTGACTCATCCCAGTTGCTCTGCCAGGTCTTAAGAGGAAATTCCTAGTCCTGCACACTCAACAAAAGTGGAGAGACTTGGCAGGACCGGCAGCATGCTGGGAAAAGGAGGCAGTGGTTCCGGGCCCAGAAGTGGCGGGATTTTTTGTTTCGGTCCTGCAACCAATTTTCCATTCAGCATGACACGGAAGGAATATGGAAGAGGGGAAATTCAACGGAAGGGGTTGCACTTGGTTTGGAAAAGCCAGGGAAGGACGCAAGCTAAGCAGCTTTGCCTTGGGAGCTGGGTCCATTCATACCTGAAATAGGCCCTTGGGAACCCTTAACTGGACAGTGGCCCAGACTTTCTCATGCACTCTGCAGCTCACCAGCTGGGGTGTTTGTTAACTCACTGTCTCTCTCTAAGTCTCAATTTTCTGGACTGGAAAATGGAGTCAGAACCAGCAGCCCTCCCTCCCGGGGTTGCTCTAAGAATTAGACAGTAAGTAGGTAAGTAAGCCCTCTCAACCCCACATAGATAGAAGTCCTTTTCTCGATTATGACCTAATATTTTTGGCCTTTCATTCCTCTAAAGCTGAAGTAGGCTATTTCAAAGGCCCACAAGGGCACTCTGGCCCAATAAAGAACAAGGGGCCTAAAGATAGATTAATATTTCAGTGGAACTTCGCAAATGACTAGAAATTACTAGTTTTTCCTTCCCCAAGCTCTGGGTCTATTAAAAACCGGCTCAGATGTCTCCCACGGCAGAGCAGAGGTGCGGCCTTGCCCTTCATCGGGATGCGCCGGCTTCCTTTCCAACCTCCTTTTCAGACAACTCTGCCCATTCAGCGGTTCCTAATCCAAAAAGAATGGGCTCCCCAAAGCCTGCAGGCTTCCTTACAGGTCACCGCTAATGTCCTGTGACAGGCCCTTGGCCCACCCTCCCCGCTGGCCGGGCCATCCTCGAGGCGGTCCATCCCTCGGGCCCATTCCTCTGCGGCCA